TCACCATGCAAACATCACCATGAACAGGGTCACTACACATACCATCCAAAACCCTTACCAACAAAAGTTTTTTCCAATACCTAAAAACACAAAACCCCAAAAAAACGACACAAAACGGCTGAAGCTTTCGTGTGAAGTTTTGCAACTCCTCAAGCTTACCAGTTTGAGCAGCAGAAGCACCAGAATCTAGAAGGTAGACCCTCCTAGGAAAATTTCTATGCGATTGTGTGCCCTTGTTTAGGCATATTATGCACAAAGACCTGTGTTAGGACTGTTAGGCACGGTCCGGTGCAGTGCGAGCATGTATCGAAAGCATTTGATATATGTTTGATTGTTTTCTTCAGCAGTGTGAGTTTGCTCTCGCCGCAGACATAGCAGGATGCTGAAGCAGCATTGAATTAGGAAGCAGTTCTAGCGTGCGACACGCTGAGCTGTGGCTGTGCGGGCTGGACAGTTTCCTCCCAGAGGCCGTTTCTCACTGGTGGCGGTTTCCTTGTGCTGGTCATTTCTTGCTGCAAAATTGTTTCGGCGGTTTCCTGGTAGAGGCTGTTTCCTACCGCTGGCCGTTTCCTACTGAAGGCCGTTTTCTGTGGCAGGCCGTTTCCTACACCTGGCCCACCACCCGAAAACTCGGCCTCAGCAGCATTCTGCAACACATGGAAAGTAGTGGTTTCGACCCACTCCTCCTCAAGCAACGAAGGGCTGCAAGCACTTTCACTTAACAGCAGAGCCGAATTGAGCTCTCGAGGCTTTAAGGCATCAAATACTACTTCATGCCATCATTGCCGGCTTTGTAATCAACTAGCAGCTTGCCTTGAAGCTCGCTTTGACCAAAGGTTGAACGGGTCCTCCAACTTGGGTTCCGGCAAGCCGAAACAAAAAGCTGAGCGAGAGACCTTCTCCTGCTTTTTTTTTTAGCCATCTTTCAGTCTTGTGTTAATTCGCTTTGCTTGCAAGCCAGAAAGCCGCCGCCTTTGTTGTTGGGTGGAACATTTGAACCGGCATTAACGTTTTTGGCGGCGTCCAGTGGGTCCGATGTGAACTATCCAAACTTTGCTGCATCAGTGTCAGAAGACGGCCGGTTTTGGGGTGCTTAGGTCGGCAATTTCTTCGCAGGCATTGCTGCTTGAAGGACTTTGCCTGGAGCTTTGTAGGTCAACACGCGCCAGTTTTTGGCTGACGAGATCAAGGACCACAGCACTTCAGTTGAAACATGCAACTCCAAGAAGCCTTGTGTCTTTGACAAGCTGTTGGTTCTTGTCGCTTTGGGAGGCCATTGTGAACAGAACCCGCGAAGATTCAATCTCGTCCTCACATGCGCCTGCCAAGATTGTTCCGCTCCGAGCCCTCCCTCTCATGGACGATGCAGCACAGCACAATTTCCTCGACTTGGCGAAGACCCGGCAGTGGCTGGAGGTCTCGATCTTTGCCTTCAAAACATAACTGCATGCCCTTGCAACATTGATCGGGTCCGCAACAAAGTGAGGTTGGTTGATATGGTTGGCGGGGCTTCAGAAAGGGCACAAGCGGGCTTTGCAAAAATTTGTATCATCTTTATGAAACTGCAGGTGCAGCGGATCCTGCTGGGCAAGCCGCATTTAGTCAATGCGCCGAGCTTACAGCTTACAGGCCTGAGGTTATCAGGGCACAGCAAAAAAGTAGGAGTTTGGCATATCCAGCAATGCGTGCAATGCGAACGGGTCTCATTATTCGTGTAAAGAAGCACACCTGCCGAAGGCCCAACCGTGTGGCCGCTTCTCGGTGACTCAGCATCGAAGGAAGCCCGTGTTTTTCTCTCTCAGCGATGTCCGGTCTTATGACGCAAGCCTGAAGCTTCAAACTTTCTCCAGCCATGTGCGAGAAGGGCGGGTCCGTGCTGGCTGTATGAATCTGTATGAATGTTGGGAGTGCCGCCAATATGCAAGTTTATCTTGGCAACCAATGTTTCAGTACACGATGCGTTGAACTTTGCAGTGCATCAGCATGTCTTACGTGTTTATGTCATGGCCACAGCTCGTCTGCAGTTGATGTCCAGGTTTTTGTTTTTTGGAGTCGTTCCGCTTGCACAGCGAAGCTCACACGAAGACGCCCCAGTTCAAGCCGACATATACCCATGTCCTTTCAGTTTCAATTCTACTTTCATCCAATTTGAATCAAAGCCCAGTTGCTTGTTCCGAGGCATTGCACCAGGCATCTCAGGCAAATAATGCAGGTGCAGTGAGCGACTTGGCACAATAGCTTCGGCATCGGATATTCAGCGTCGACCCCTTGGCAGCTACTTTAACAATAGCCGCGCCCGTGTCTGCAATGCTTGGTATGGGGAGAGTGTAACAAGAGAGTAGGGGGACCTAGGCAAAATTGGTTGTTCTACACGAACAAGTTCATCTGGGAATCATACACGGCCCCTCCCTTTGCTCCTTATATGCCAACACGAACAGACAGAATCAGTACATATATGAGAATGCAGTCAACCGCTTTTTTAAAGCCGCACCACGTGCCCGCGGTCTCACCATCATGCCAAGGGAGGCAGGAGACTATGGCAATCACAAAAAGAGACAGAGAGAGAGAGAGAGAGAGTACGGAAAACGTGCAAGCAGCAGATTGGATGCCAGAGCGCGGGACCGTAAAGCGGCTGCGGGAAGCCTCTACAGAGGATGTCGGTTGCGGAGGTTAGCTTGCGCAGGCTTCGTATGGCTGAGACATTATAGCACCCGATGACCAGCCTCCTGTTATGGGAGAACGCTGGATGCACTTCTGTTTCAGTGGCCAGCACAGAGCCACGAATATCTTTTGGGGAAACCTTGTGTGTGTGTGTGTACTAGCCCCGACAAGCCAAATGAGTCAATGAGGCTTCCTTCTTGAGGCACGAGCTGACGTGCTCGCCAAGACCTCCGCCGGCCAAATCGCTGCCGAGCCTCTGCAGATGCTTTTTATGGCCTATCTGCGAGTTAGATTGCGGCGGATTCCGCATTGAGGACTTGGCCACGGACAAGGAGGTCAAGGTGGCCCTGGCTTTCGGTTCTTCGGCATGTCGCAAATCTGAGGGGGAAAGGTGGGTCATTGAGTAGTCCGATTTGTGTGGAAAAACCGGGGAAGGCGCTGCTTCATGGCCGCCATGCTCAGCTCTCAGCCAGGCCCGGAGCCGGGAAGCGGTTCTAGGCCCTTCTCTAAGTGCGCGCCGCAAGTAGAGGAGAGTAAGTCTCCCAGCTGTTTTTGTGTCAGGCAGGACTTGGAGCACCAGTTCCTAAATCTGGCGAAGGCCCGAAAATGGAAGGCGCGCCGCAGCACCTTTCCATGGGATTGGAAAGGGTTCGCTTCTGGAGCTGGGTCGTAAGTGGCCGTTGTGCATGTGTGACTTTTGAGCGATTTGTTGGATGAGGGTGACTCTTGGTATTTCTCAGCGCTTGTTTTTTCCTGCAGGTTCAAACACCACCTGAGACGTGAAGGTGTTGACGGTGTTGAGCGAGGGTTTCGGCATTGCGATGAGGCCTACGCAGGGCAGAAACGAGATCTGAGCTTCTGCTCAGGAGCTCGCCGGGTTCCTTGCGGAGGTCCCAGACCTTGCGCGCCGCTCGGCAGAACGCTTCGGCACCCGCCGAGTTCCCCGAGTTCCCCAACAAAATGTCCGGAGCCACGCAGCCTCAGCATTTTCCGTCCGCCGGTGATTTTTCACCTGAGGGGCAAAACTCTCATTCCGCACTTTGGTTCATGCTGGGGGGGCTTCGTGCATGAAGGTTGCTGGTCGGAGAAGCGATTCATGTTCATGGCTTCATGTGCAGAGCTGGACAGGCTAATGTCAAGCCTCGTGGTCCTTCTTTTCCATGCTCCCACAGCTCGAAACGTCAACGAATATCGCTTCGCAACTGAAGGGGCGCAGCCCGGTGGCCGTTGGTCAGCACTGCACCAGGCAGCCTCAGCAGGCCTTGGGCGGGGCTTTTGACTTTGGCGGTCTTCATGTTGTAAGGAAAGCCCCTGGGCCCTGAACCCTGAAGTACTTGTGGAGTCTAAGAGAGTCTAAGGGTCTGAGTGAAAGGATGGTGAGATCGAGCAGAGGCCCTGGGGACTTCCAGTTTTCCGAAGTTGGGTCGGGCTCGGGCCTCTGAGGCGGCAGGTGGATCTAGGCCTACGCAAGACACGAATGATGTCAGAACCAGAGTGGGCACTACCCGACAGAGTCCTGTGCAGATTTCAAAAGTTCATCTGTGTTACTTTGATTTTGAGCATGGTGGCAGGATGTTGCAGGTGTTCTGTGGAGGGTAGGATAGATCTCTTCGTAAGCCACAACCTGTCAAGGTCACCTGGAGACCATCCGACTTTTGCTGTCCTGCCGCGCTGATACCACGGCCCGCAATTTTGACGGGAAAACACCCGTCGAAGTCACCCGGCTTTTGTCACGGGAACTGTTCTGAGTTGCATTGCAGACAAAACCGGGACAGCAATCTTTGGCAGGGCTTATCGTTGTTGTGTTGGCCGTGTTATCCTCCCGGGCAAGAAGTTTGGTGCCCAGGTTGCGACGGCCGCGGCCAGGCCACAAAGAATCGGAAAGAGGGTGATCCCACCCTCAATAGCCCGAGACTGTTAGAAAGACCTTGGTGTCCGTCCTCGCTACTTGTGCCATTTCAGTCTGTGTTGAAACACCTGTGAACCAGACTTGAATCAGAGGCTTTAAAGGATCAGTTAATGTGTTGCATTCACTTAGTGTCTTCAGGCTTTCAATGCAGAGGCATGCAGAGGCTTTTTTGGGGCAATTTGACAGCATGCTTGCTGTGCAGCCTTTGCTCGCGTGTAGGCCTCTCCTGGAGTTGATCGACATTGACAGCTCACCTGAGCGTGAGGTGGGCAGATGCAGAATTTGCCCTCATGCGGAAGGCATGTAGTTCACGAAGAATTGAGGTTGCAGTGCAGAGTCCACGGAGTCCTGGCTCGGCCTCTTTCCAAACCACCTTGACTCCTGAGTCCTCAAAGACGATGGAACGGTGCTTAATGGTGCCACTGGAGCACGCCAGTACATGTGCCTTTGTGGGCCAGGGCGAGCCGTCGAAACGTGCCAAGACCGATTCAGGCCCGGGCCGGACTGGGAGTCTGAGGCGAAAGCCTTGGCAGGTCTTACTGTTGTATAGAAAGCAATTCGAACCGAGAAGCCCAGCATTCATTGAGAGTCTCCTTAGCCTTGCGCGGTTGAAGCAATGCTTCAGAGATGGGACGGCAGGGCCTTCTCCGAACTTCAGCCGCCTGGAGGCCCGATTGCCTTGCCGGACCGAGCGAAGCGAGGCAGAAGTGCAGAGAGCTGGACAGCCGATTCCAGTGTACGAAGCACTTGAACTCCCTGAATTGAAAGTCTTTAAAGCCCCTTTTGAGACCAGGTGCTGCTTGAATTCCATGGCTCAAATCACAGGAAGCCACCGGTACACATGACTCGACATACTTGGTTTAAGTGTTGCGTCTGTACTAGGATTGTTGCAAGTCGCAGGGAGAGAGAGATCTAGGGGTTTTGCTTGGGGACAAAACTCATTACCTTAAGGGTCCACAGCTTCTTGCAGCGCAGGGCCTGGGTGAACCATGATGACGTACAGAAACAGCTCTTGAGTGCGTTGACATGTATCTTCATGGAACATTTTCCACTACACGTGTTTGTAGATGCATGCGTTTCCATCAGAGGGTTCGCATATGTAACTTGAATGACGTGGCTTCCACGAATGTTTTGCACTGAATCAATCACATGCAATCTTGTACAGACCAAACCCCCAACCCCCAACCCACGAGCCTCTTAATCACTCCTCTTCTTGCCATCCACTGCGCATGGACGGAAACTGGTCGTGTCCAGCCTGCACATTTGAAGCTTGCCTCGAACGGGAGCATGACAGGGCAGGGCCATCAGGGCTCGAGAGCCTCCCCACAAGGACTCCACAAGGTTTCGGGGCAGGGACCTGCTGCAAGACCACAGCTGAGGAGAATCCGCCATCTGCGGATTGCTGCGAGGTCTGCGAGTCTGCAAGGCTCTTGGGCGTGGTGCAGCTGCTCCTGGGGTTGGCGTGGTGGTGTTTGTTGTTGTTGCTGCCGCTGCTGGCAATGCTGGAGTGCGTGCCCGGAAGTGTGGAGAATTTCCGTCTGCGACACCGTATACGCACTCGAAGCCTTCAGGAATCCGACACCCCCCCCAAAGCCTCAAGGATGAAGCGTCCCTACAAGACTTTCAGGGACGTGTCGTTGCACCAAGAACATCCGCTGTAGTGGCCCCGAGAGCTTTCAAGAGTCCTTCAATGGAAGCGCATGGTGACAGGCCTGGCAGCGGCTGGACCTGCGCGCGGCCTGCCCGCAGTTAGCTGTACCGCCAGCCTGGCCCATGGCAACTGAAACTAAGGTTCTGCACCCTTCTGAATCCCAATGGAAGAGCAACTTGGAGCAGGTTGAGGACCTTCAGATGGCATTGTGCAGCGAGCAAAGACCCAGACACCAGACCTGAAGTGCAGTGGCAGAATGGATTGCATCAAACAGGAGATGTCCACAAAAGAAGACTCACCTGCATGTAGCCTTGGGTGCGCCAGTCTCAGGCAAGCTGTGAGGCATGCGGACAGGCGGCGGTAGCGTTGTGATGAAAGAGTTCTGCTGGTTTGTTCTTGTCTCGTGATTTTCGGCTTCGCATGGGTCATCGTGAGCAGGCCGGTGCTGCTTTCTGAACAGACTTCGTGTGTGTTTTCTTACCGTGTGGTTGTAGCCGCAAGTTCACGGTGATCTGCATGAGGCTCCTGTTGGGTGCAAGGTCTCCGGCATTGAGGGATACCAAAATTTGACCGAATGTCTATTCGCACGGTGCACGCTGGGAGGCCCGTCGGACGCCGGCGGCTTCACCCAAGCCGAAGGCCGCCAAGGTCGGGGGCCCCAAAGTCTCTGCATTCTCCTCGGGGCCTTTGGTCAGCTTCGGTCACCGATTTCGAAGTTGGGGATGTTGGAGTGGGCAGGCCTTGCAGATGTCTTCGGCACCGGACCGGTTCAGGTGGTTGCATGAAAGTTTCAGTGTAAATTCGACCAAACTCAATGTCAAGTTCTCGAGAAAGGAGTGCTTCCTGTCTTGGTCAAGGCCAAAGCGGTGAAGCGCAATGAAGCCTGGCAGCCTGGCTGCACATGGCAAACCAAAGACTTCTGTGTGCCGGGCGTTCACGATTTGCAGCAGGACTTCCAGCTTTGGAGCGTCTAGATACACAGGAAGGCAGAACGAGCATCGCAGGTCTTTAGAAGTTCGCAAACTTTGCTAAGAGTGCCTCCATGCCTCTATATGCCTCTCTGTTCGCGAGGATGAAGTCATTAGTAGGCCCCTGGGCTCGCAGCCTGGTCCCCAGATCGGCGCAGGCTCCCCGCGAACCATCTCTTGGCCTACCAGGGTTACACAGCCAAGCCGAAGGCCAGGGCTTCCCTTCCCGCCCTTCGGGATCAAGACTCAAAACAGAGGTGTCGTGTTTTTTCGGTTCGAAAAATCAGATTGATCTATGTGTGAATACAGCTCGATGCAACGTGTGGAGCTGTCATCCACTTGGTGGTAGGCTTGCAATTCATGCTTCCTTGCGGGAGAAACCGCTCCTTAATGTAGCAAGCGCGAAGGCCTCCGGTCCTCGCCGTACGACGAACTGGTGGAGCGCGAAGAAGCAGGACGGGATTCGAGCGCAGCCCGCATCACTCGCGAGCTCCGATCATGCTGTGCCGATCTGTCCCGAGGATTTCGTCCGTCGGTTCCTTAGTTGAGGACCTCTTCAGCGCTGAGTTGGAAGAGGCTCATAGATAGACAGAAACTCCGCAGCTTGTCCTGCGTGGTAACTGGCCCCTTGAAAACGGCGGCTTTCGATTGCACGTTGTGACCCAGGTGGCAGCTGTCGCCTCGTCTTGGATTCCAACCTAGCCAAAGGCTCGACAGCAGTTGACTTTAGTAAGAGCTTTGTACTGTAGTGATTGTGCTTTCAGCATGGGTGAGTGCTTATTGGGCCCCATTTGCCAACTCCATCTCGGACGTCGAAATGCCCTGCGTGGAGATCACGACTCTAGGAACCAGGATTCAACCCCGGACACCTGCAGCCCATCTGAACTCCAGCCATGTCCCAAGCACAGGCAGTCCGGCCTCCGTCGCCGCTTTGACAGGCAGCGAGCTCTGGCAACACGTCTGGCGCGTGGACATGCCCTGCGAGGCAGGGCATCCCAAGATGTGAGCGAAGAAGCGCTAGAGTGCCTGTGACTAAGGCTTCCGAAGAGATGCCGACCTGCCCTATCTGCCTCGGCTCCTCAGCACGGTTTTTGCGTTTTTGGGTGACGATCTCCGCGAGAGAGAGAGCGGCGCCGAGGCGAGCCGGAGCTGATCCGGACGCCTCCCTGTGGCCACGTGATCTGCTACCTCTGCGCACCTTGGCGCTGCAACTACAGACCTCAATTGCGCAACCTGGGTATGTAGTGAGCAGCGGCGTAGCGCTCGATGCGCCGGGGGCGGCTTGTGATGATCCACTACTGCGGGGGCCAAGTGAGCCAGCGAAAACTGAGGCCCTTCGGCACCACCAAGCCTCTCAAGCGGCCGCGTGGTCGAAGGCCTCCCTGAAGCAGGCTCTATGCGTCTTGTCGGAGGGAGCCAAAGTGCAGCAATAAGCCTGTGGCAATTCCGGGCGAGGCTTGCAAATGCCCGGTGTGCAGCCAGGCCGGGGCGACACTCAGTGATGTCGTGCTGCACTTCTTCCTCTCTTCCTGAAGTGTTTCTTTGTTTTTGCGGCCGGGACCGGCAACAGGCCATGCGCTTGGAAGACCTGCGCCCTGTTCGCCTGGAGCTTCAGCACCTGCCGAAGCCGGAGCGCACCCTCGAGGGCTCGTTTTGGCGCCTCCAGGTCGGGGGCCCACGTTTGCTTGCGTCCCAGGAGGAAGGCGGCTCGCTGGTCTTCACACTGGTGCGACGAACAGGCCTTCACTACCTGAGTCTCGCGGGTGCCTCGCTTGAAAGACCAGAACGGATGAGGTCTCTTGTTCTGTGGCCTGTGGCGTGGTCGCAGTTGAAGGTTGTCCAGCGAAGGTGATAGCTCTGGGGTTTAGAGCTTGGCCGGCCACAGCGCCAAAGCTCCACTTGCAAGCCCCAGCCCTGAACCTCAAGCTCGCCAAAGACCCAAAGCATCAAACTCCCGAAGACACTCAGACGACACGCTGCCGCGTGGCTGCCAGCCGCATCTCCCCCAGGAGGGCGAGCCAGGCCGCGCAGAATTGGATGCCCGAGATATAGACCATGAACTGCTGCCTGAGACGCATTCCGACATCATTAGCTCTCTACTGACTGAGCGGCATAGTTTTCAGCGGAAGTTCGTAATTCCTGCAGCAATTCAAGCCAAGCTCACATTCTTGAAGCTGCAGCTCCCCAATCGTAACCTCTGCAGGCCCACATTAAGAGTTGTCGTGTGTGTTCTGCTTGAAGGAGCCATTTTTGCCCGCCGAATCTTCGGCGATCCCGAGCTGTACCTCAGCAACGTCCACGAAGGCGCCCGAGCGGAGAGCGGAGAGCGGAGGGCTGTCACTGAGCTGTCAGACGCAGAGTGTGTCAGAGTGTGTCAGATCTGCGGGTGCTGGAGTCCGCGGCTGCCTCCGGCGGCGAGGAGGCCTGGGCCTGGCCTGGGCCACCTGGTTCCGGTGTAGGTCATGCAGAGACACCTTGTAGCAGGCTCCACTGGCGAGGTCTGCCATCGAAGTGCCTTGGTCAGCCACGGAGAAAGTGCGGCCAGGAAGCCCTTTTCCTGATCCGAGGCACTTCAGACACAGCTTGTGTCGCCTGGGCAGGGGACCCGGGAAGCCGGCTGAAGCTGTTATATCAGTTATATCGCTGTCATAGAATCCCTAATGTTCTGGAGCTGATGGTAGCTTGTCTTAGCGGCTGAGCCCATTAATTAAAGGCCTGGAAGAGTTTCTTGACACTCAGGGATCCAGCTCCGGAACCCAGCCCATAGAGCTGTACGTATCCTGATGCCAGGAAAGGCGCACAAGGTTTGAAGGATGCATCGAGCGAGTCTTCTAGCTCCTCGGCTCGGTCAGAGGTTCTGTCAGCGTAGTGTCAGCATAGTTTCTGCGCAGATCCGCAATTTGGAAGTTCATACTCCTCAATCCGGGCAGCTTTGATTTTCTGTCAGCTGTACGTACGTTCTTCTGGCGGCCCGCCTTCACCGACGACCTTGAAGCTTAAGCTGAAAGCCGTTAGGTTCCGAGACCCTGGTCTTCTATCAGAGCTCCGACGGGCATCTTGGCTCGTGCAGCTGTCGCCCTGGAAAGAAGGGGAAAGTCAGCATAATCATTGCCGCCTGCTTAATTACACCAGAAGTCAAAAAAGTTATCCAGCACTGAAGCTCGACGCACTCATTCGCACAGGATGCCCAGTATCACCCGAAAACTAGAAATTAGCGGCTATTGGGTAGCTCATTGGAGTTGCAGCTTCTTGGCCAGTTCGTTCGTGCGGACCGGGGTTCGGCATGAAAGCTCGCACATTCCGATTGCATTTCGAGGCAGCTGATTTTTCTCGAGCCTTACTTGATGAAGCAGCTTCTCTCCGAGCACAGGTGGGCTTCGGCGAAACCTGAACCACTCCTAAGCTGCAAGTCTGAGTCCATTACGGCATGTGTCGGTTGTGTTTGTTCGTTTGACCTGCGTCGAGAATGGCAGAACCGATCTTACGTGCAAGTCTGTGAACAGACTGCGGCAGGAATTGGGCTCATCTTCCTTCCAGCGTCACCCTGCGGCCGCTGCGGACCATGCGACAGGCACAAATGGTGACCGATCTGTGAAACCAGAAGCCAAGTAAGAACCCGCTCGTGCTGCAGAAGAGCCATCGCGTCGTCTGGAGATAGGTATGATTATGATTGATGGCAGGGAGAAGTGCACAGAGAGCCGACATGAAGAGCAGCACCGGCGGGGGAACTGCAATAGGCAGAAGACGATGAAGATTGTGCAGCATGAACAACCGCGAGGTGTTTGCTTAATAGTGTAGAGTGTGTAGACAACTCGGAGGTGCTGCTAAACTTCTGCTCAGGAGCCGCTGACAGATCAGATGAAGCAAAGGCGCCGAGGGCTTTCGTCATTGTTTTGGTCTCGGGCGACATCTGCTGGATGCCTTGCATGAGTTAGGCAGCTAGAGCCTTCAGTTCTCAAGCAGAATTGACTTGAAATGCGCTGTCGAGGGCGACAGGCCTTTCCAGACTGTTCTGCTTCCAGGAAAGCTTGTATTGAAAGGGAAGGACTTAGATGGCCGCTGCAGTCGCCAAAGGGTTCTGAAAGCCATGGCTGTGAACAGGCACCGTTTCCTGGCGCACCTCCCGTCTGATGCGGCCGGAAATCTCATTGCATTTGCCGACGGAAAGATTGAAGGCAGGCAATTAATTACCTGACTGTATCAATGAAGCATTGCAGGTTTAGAGGTGCTCAGCTGCAAGGATGCCTGGTTCCGGAAGATTTGTGTTTGATTTGGAGCCGATTGTCTTGAGTTCGCAGGAGATTCCAGCAGGCCGGAGCCGGCTCCAGGTAAAGGTGGAAGGACCCGTTCCTTGGGTGTTTACAGTCTGGGCCACACAGAGAAGCTGCCACTCCTGACGCTGATGTTTGTTGCTGCTGCTGCTGCTGCTGCTGCTTCTGTCGGCTGCTTCTGCTGGGTGACGATCAAACCTGTGATGGTGGTGATGATGATGGCGACGCTGCTGGCGCGATGATGATGATGATGATGATGATGAGGAGGAGGAGGAGGAGGAGGAGGAGACCACGGGCATGTCACGAGGCTGATGAAGATGTTCACACGTTCGAGACCAACGCACAGATGTGGGCCTTTTTCTGAACCAGTGGAACCCGCCCAAAACTTTCACAAAGCGTAATTGTAGAAAACCGGGGCATGGGTCGGTGGGCAGGATCGTAAACCCTGAACTACCTGTCAGCATCAGAAGGTCCAGTGTTTTGAGCTGTGGCGGCCATGGCCTGTTTTCGACTGCTTTGAGCACCGAGCTTGGCCTTCAAGAAACCCAACGACAGGCGTGAGCTAGGCCAGCTAGGCAAGAGTTATGCAGAATTGTCGATATCGTTTGAAGATTTGCTTTGTGGACTTTCGAGAAGCCCTGTGCTGGAGTTGCATTTTCTTCAAACGTTTTGTGGGCTGCATTTTCTGTTTGATGATTTGGTTTGCGGCCTCCAAGAAGCACGGTGCTGGAAAGGAGCTGTGGCAGATTCTTATATTGCTGCATAGCTTGGGCCTAGGAAGGGGGCTGTGGCCAACGCCACTGTTTTGGAAGACTTGGTTTCGGGGCCTTCAGTAATTCGGCACCGGAAAGGGAGCGGTGGCTTTCTTGTTACAAGGGCAGGTTTGTTGGCCTCCAAGAATCCTGGTGCTGGGGAGGGAACTACGGCATGTTATTGAGCATGATCTGTTCGATTGAGGTGTAGGTTTTGATCTGTGGGTTTGTACTGATCCCGGTGCTTGGAAAGGAACAAGATGTGGTTTTTGGGCCTGCAAGAAGCCCGCCAATAGGTGCCACAGAATGGAAGTACAATGCATACAGTTGCGTACACCCTTGGACAGCATTCAAAGGTGCAAGTGCTTGCGGTGTTGCTTTGCGGTGTTGCTCAGGGACGACAGCTCAACACCCCATCCGAGCCCCCACGCAGGAAGGGCCGCCAGCGCAATCGGCGGAAGGAGCATGTCGTGCAAATGCAGTTTTATCAACACGGCCACACGCGGTGAAAGCATCCGGCTGCAGACCATCCAAGTTTCCACTCGAGTGCTCATTGCTTCGGTTGCTTGATGGGTGCGGAGAAGGTGTTTCTTTCGCAGGATGAAACAGCAGATCTGATAACGTCGGAACTTCTTCAACGAAACAGCAAATGTGCCCTGCAGCATGAATAGCATGTCTCTGCGTGGGCAGTGGTCGAAAGTTCTGGCCCGTCTCTGTGGTTTGCTGTTCCGTCATGGTTTGAAAGGTTACCGCAGCAGAGAGCACACGGCACGAAGCTTCGGGAGCAAGATTCGATTCCGGAGATCACAGCGTATGTTTGAGAAGAAGCTTAAACTCTGTGCCTTGGCTTGGCGGCAGAAAGATGTCCGAGCCGTGTCAGGAGCCTTGGAAAGCGAAGGAGCCTCGAAGCCGCCACAACTCTGCAGAGGCCGCAGGAAGTTGGCTCCGAGTCGAGGTCTCAGGTTGGCAAGACTCGGAGAATTTCAATGGGATCCTTGCACGATTGCATGTCATGACGAAAAGGCCATGCCGGAGGGCTCTAAGTGCGGCTCTCTGCCAGGCGTCTTCAACTCAGGAAGAAGGCGGGGATGCCGCGAACCAGGCGATCTGGGGCAGCTTCGTGTGCTCTTTCCGCGAAGGGGGCGAAGTCGCCTGAAGCGTGTTTTTTCGATACCCTGGGAGAGAGTTCTCTCGAATGCTCTAACCCTGAAGGCTCGAAGAACCCCCAAGCCCAAGACTGGCCCAGGCTGCAGGCGAAGGTGGCTTGGAGACGGCAGGCGACCGCCCAACCGTCTGAAATTTGAAGGGTCCTGAGTCGTAGTGGGCGGAGCGCCAGTCCATGGAACTGGGCAAAGCCGGGACTTGGAAGTTGATGAGAGGTCGCCGTCCATCTGACGAACAGCTGGATGCAGAGGCTCGCCCTCGGGTTTACGGTCTGAACAGTGCACTAGGACTAGTGTTAGTTGAGGTTTGTGTCAGCACCGTGCCTGATTGCTGCAACTTGTGTTCAACGTGGGTGCGACCCATCCTGCACTACAAACTGCTGAGCTTCAGTCTCTTTCGTCCAATCCCAGGTTTGTTCCTTTGAGTCGAGGGTCCAAGTCTTCGCATCACACGCCCTGGTTGAGGACGCCTGGTCTGATGCTGAGGAGGCTGTAGAAGAAGAGCCCGCGCAGGATGAGGAGGCTGTAGAAGAAGAGCCCGCGCAGGAAGAGCCTGTGGAGGAGCAGCCTGTAGAGCAGCAGCCTGTAGAGCAGCAGTCTGTGGAGAAGGAGCCTGCAGAGGGAGAGACGATAGAGTCTGCGGAGCCTTCAGGAGGGGAGGCAGCGACGGCTTAGGAACTCAGAGGGGCTTGTTGCCAAGGCCGTGAAGCGATTTCGGTTAAGCTATGGCATTCGAACCCGGAATTTGAAGCCGTTGCCGCAAAACTTGTTGCAAGCTGTCGGAGCCTTGATGCTTGAAACCAGTCTCGACGCCGGCGGGAAGTAGCTTGCACTCCCCTATCTAGCATCCACTTAGCGTGTGACGTAGGAGTGAAGGCTTCCCCAAACCAGGCATTTCCTAGGAAGCATAACGGCCGCTGGCAGCAAGCCTGTCTGTGGCAGGTGACAGATTCCCTCTGCCTGTCTTTGCAAAGGAAAAAGGGTCCTGCTTCCAGCCGCGCCTCCACTTTTCGGCCCGAAGCTGACAGTCTCCGATGTCGTCATGCTGGGGGAAACGCCAATCAGACCAGTCCGCTGTGGTGAATCTAGGGGCTGAGGGTTGCAGAGACCCTTCCTATCCCAGATGAATCCCAGATGAAGCCCAGGGCTCAAAGGCAGCCAATTCAATGCCAGGGACCCTTCGAGCTGGCAGCTCCGCGGAGCGAGGCTCGAAAAGGCCCAAGCCGGTGTGTTCCGCTCGGTGGATTTCGGTCGTGTTCAATTGATTCTCGGCTTTGCATGGAGTTGCTTAACTTCCAGCCAAGGGAGGCCTCGTTTGCACTGTAGATCTGTGGGACTTGCCTTCTCGGGCTCTATTTCGATCCCGATAGTTGACTTTACGGTGATACGGTATTCAAGCGACTCCTCGGTTGTTTGCAAGCATCAGTTTCACATACGCCTGGGCATCCACCTTTCCATATTCCCAGCCAGCAGAGCACTCACCACATTTGCTCCGGAAAGAGCGCAAAAGAGTCTCAAACCCTCAACCTGCGGGGTCCCTAGAGCGAAGATGCTCCAGGGAGAGGGGGGGCGAGAGAGAGAGAGAGAGCTGATGCCCCAAACAGACCGTGGGGGCTAAAATCAGCCCGTGTACGCGAAAGCCTTTTCCCTAGCGACACGAGGGGGAGGGGGGCGCCTCGGCGCGGGTCAGCTAGGCTGACCCGTACCCAGCGGAGGGCTGACGCGCATGATGAGGCATCTACCACTTTCAGCCTTCCACCGGCTCCTTGCAAGTGGGTGGCGAGGTGCGGGGGTTCTCGTTGCTGCAACTTTAATGCAATGTCGCATCTTTAGTCTGAACAAGATGGTGGTTGGATACCTTATATGTTACTTTCTTCAAAGGAGCTTTGAGGAAGCACTTCCATGCTGTTGTTTCGCTCTTCCTTGCGGCAGGAGATCGCACGGTTCCGCGCCGAACCAGTCTCCAACCTGCCTGGCGGCCTACTCCGGCACACTCTTGTGCTGAGTGTAACTGTAACTGAGAGCAGGACAATCACCATGACCATCGCCATGACCATGACCATCACCGGCACCAGCCGTTGTCGTCACCCCAACCACCATCGCCACCAGCCCATTTTGCACATGCGGCATGCAATTTTGCTTTGTGTGAAAGCTTCAAAAATCCGACCGCTAGTCGCAGAAGATGTGCTTTGTCCTGCCGCATTGCGGCCTTCTGAGGTCCTTCCCCAGCTTCATCGCTGAAAGGCCGACCACCTCTCATTTCGCATCGTGCGGGGCCACGGATGTGACTTGAGTCAATCAAAGCGAAAGGTCCAGCACATTGCATGCAACGCGGTGGATGTAACTCTTCCGTGGCATTGAGATTCCGGTTGAGGTCTGCTGCGAAGAAGGCAACGCAAGCCATGAAAGTCGAGGGGCGTTTTGAGAAAGTCCCTTCTAAGTCTGGGAGCCCCGGAGCTGCGAGACACGAACAACTAACGACTGCGCCAGATTGCGTCCATTTCGGTGGAAGATCTTGAGAATTGTTCATGGTTGCGTGTTGGCATTCGTATAGTTGCTGCACATCTACACGGCCATGATCCAGCGCCAGCGTAAACTTGTTTTGGTGCGGCGGCAATTGGCGGCAGCAGCAGCATGTTGAAAAGCTCTTCTTTCCGAGATTGAACAATGACACACATGACACTGAAGGTGTGTCAGCGTTGTAAGTGGCGAAATCATCGAGGAAATCCAGCTTCTCGGCTGAAGATGAGGTTCAGGTCACTCCGAGTTAAAGTGCCGTGTCAGATGTTTGCATCGAGAGTGCATGGTCTTGTGAGCTGTTTTTGAGTTGTGAGTTAAGAACACTGGAGCATCGGGACGATTGCTTCCTACCTGTGCCCTGCGACCGGGTTCAAGACCTGTCACGGCTAAAGCTGCAGGGTTCGTGATTCAACACAGCCGACAGAAGCTTCTGCCGGTCTGATGTCGGGGCAGATTTTTGCCTTTTTCGTTTTTTTGGCAATTCCTTTCGCGTCGTGTGCAGGTGGCTGGGGTTTGACAGAGGGGTATGCTTGGTCCTTGCATAGCACTCTCGACTCCAGGAAGGCCTCCAATGCCGGTGCTCTCTTCGTGCTCTCCTGAGCCGGAACAGCATGATTTCCAAAAGTCACGGGCCTCACGGAGGGCTCTCTCAAGAGCTGCCGCGTAGACTCCCCACGAGTGTTCTCCGACTGAAGTCTTTCAAAACGGCGAAGCAGCGCTTTCCTGACCGGCCCAGGTGCTTCCCTCCCAGCTGAATGGTGCGGAGCCACTTGGCGGGAAACACTTGAGATTAAGACCCTAGTGGACCCTTACAACATGTCTTTTAGGCCCTGTAATATGACAACCGCTGATAGCAGTAGGATTATGTCACAAAATGAAATGTTATACACAGTCCTGACATGTGCTGACTCCGAACGTCTCAGTGGTGACCCAGTACCCATGCACTCCAGCACATTCCGGATATGACTTAGAGCATGTTGTGCCAAGATAAAGTCGAATTCCTTTCCTTGGGCGGCTGGTGTGCGGTGGGAGTCAAGGCTTTCTTGCCCCAAACCATTGTGAAGAACCGAGCCGTTGTGCAGATGGCAATGGGACATTCTGTGAGTTGTGGAAAGAGGATCTCGAAGCAGACTGAGGTACCCTATGCACAACTACATAGCACCTGGCTAAGACGCTGCTTTGCTGTACACCGCGTGATAGGTTATAGCAAGTTAGCCATGGGTGCTGAGGTTGATCAGATCTCCAAGTACAAGCACCTCCCTTGCAGTTTGGCTCAGGGCCTGCTTGAGCAGCGTAGCAGCGAGAGCTTGAGGTTCGACAAAACAGGCGGCCCTCGGGGCCAGCTGGCCGTCCACCCAGCAGTCGGGGCCCCTGGGAGTCTTCCAGGGTGTTTTGGGAATGCTTCTGCATGGGCTTGCCAAGGTTGGCCAGTTCATTCTAGACAACGCAGCCTGCGACAAGAGGCACGGAAAACATCGTGGCAAATGTGCAGGGGAGGCAAGGCCGATGTTGCTGGTTTAGGTTGGGCAGTGTTTGAGCCAAATTCAGCTGTGGGTGTGTACCAACCACGTCAGCCGGCCCCACACCGTCGAAAATTTTCGAAAGGCCACTGGGCCTGGATGCTACCGATGTCGCCGTTGCCTGAGCATCCAGGCGAAGCTTCCGAAGTCTCGTTCAGCTAGGAAAACGACGGCGCACAACGACTTTCCCAACTCCCCCAGGCTGTCGAATCATGCAAGCAATGCGAATGTGCCCTCTTTTAATGCTCGTCTATCGGAAGCCTATAGTGCTAGGTCGGTTCTAGGTTTGGTTAGCCCTGTCAGGGGCAAAGCGAGGGGGCTTTGCGGAGAATGCTTTGTGTGGCTTCTTTTGGCTCCTCTCACCAGTCTCCTCTACGGAAGAGAAATTGGAGTTCGAAGCTTCAGAAAAAAGGCTATAGCGAAAAAGCCTGTGCTTCCACTGGAACTGTCTGGAACTTTGGATAGTGCGGTGATGCGGCACAGAAACAGCAACCATCAGTCACGATGAGCATGGCACGTCGAAAACGATGTAGATGTGCTACTAGACTAAGATCAGCCGGGATGCTCGTTCAGGACGACGGCGAGATGCTTAAGCCTTGCGGAACCCGATTGTCCAGAGGCCTTGGCTGCTGCCAAAGCCTCCCCATCCTGGCCGTCAGGGCCGCGGCCTCAGACTGACAAACCCGGTCATGCCGTGAAGTCTTCAGAAAGTGGGAAGGTACAACTTGCACGTGAAGAACGGCTACATGGCCGTGCCTCACTGCCCGGCTTCCAGCCAGGTGCGCTCTGGTGACTTATTCCGAAGCCTGATTCGACTTTGGAAAGCTTGGGGCCGGCCTTGTTAGTACCGGTATCCAGGGATAAGCTTGTGAATTCCTTACGACTTACGGTGTCGGAGCGATGCCGTCGCCGTGAACTGTGCCAAAAACACAGGAAAAATACTTTGAAGGCCGACGAGGATCTTGGAAATGATCAATCTGCCTTGAACCATGAGCCAGCACTGGCATGTCGAAGTTGCAGTTGGATACAGCAGTCGTCGTGGTGGTCGTCGTATTGAGGAGCAGCAGGAGCGGCCGCAGGACTAGCAGGAGGAGTAGTAGGAGAGTCAGCAGCAATTGTTGTCCTTGTTGTGTTACCCTCACGACCTCGCCGGATTCAGGGAGCGGTGCTCACGAGCCTGCGGTCCTCCCTGCACAGACTCTTGGCGAAGATGTGACACGAGGCCTTGATCTGCCCCTACTGTAAAACTGCTAATATTCCTATTCCAATTAAGCTGGCTGTGGCTGCTGCTCTGATGGTTTCAATCATCATTTTTCACATGCTTTGTCTTCATCCTTGCCAGACCACATATATGCCAATGCTGGTCTTGCCCTGTTGCAATCGATGTCCGGTTGAGGCGGCACCGGAAGCCCACTTTATCGAACCTTCGGCCCTAAGAGCCTGAAGCTCAAGCCCTGCAGCACCCCGTGCCAAGGAGTGCGCTGCCTCTCCGCTTGGGGAGTGCCGGCTGTAGGTCTGAGGCCGGCTTCAAGGAACCGTTTCGAGCCGGGGGTCTTACTCTGTGCCCTGGTTTCATCGAACTGTTGCTCTTGCCTTGCAGGCCGGATTTTCAAGATTTCTCCACGGCTTCACACAAGGCTCTCTGGATTGATTTGTTGCGATTGACAATGTTTGAGACTGCCACAGTCTGGAAGCACTGCAGTATGAGCAGTGCTGTGGAATTCAGGTTCACATGGTCTATGCCTCTGCCATTCCAGTCAAGGCGCGACGTGTTGACCATCAACAGCATGAGCCTCCCAACTTAGACTTGTTAAGTTAGTTCACTGTTTGGCCACAACACCTTGCAAGCCGAAGCCTCACACCGCGAGTTTCGAGATGCCGTCCGAGGTACCAAGGCGGTATCCCAATCGCACAACTGCAAAAGTTCTCCCTAAAGCTCCCGTAGACTCAGTAGACCAGCGGTCAGCCTAGACAGTTTTGCTACCCACATCACGTTGCTCACGGCATGGAGCTGTCTTGAGACAGGCATACTTGAACGCCGGGAATCTGGACGTGGGCTTTCAGGACAAAGCTGCTACGCTTGGAATCTGAAAGCTGTTTTTTTTTTGAGCCAGCATGGATATGCCGCCCACTGGACCGGAAGAGTCCTGGCCTTGCGTGTGTCGGCTTTCCCCCGTCCGTCTCTCGGACCGAGCCGCGCAAATCCTGCGGGCTATCGGTGCCTCGAGCTGTGGCACCGCTGTTTCGGGCGTTCGTTTGGCCAGCTTCTGTTGCTGCGCAGGAGGAGATAAGTCGCTTCGTCATCATCAGCCAGCCCCTCTCCTGCAAGGTTTCAGGGCCACTTGATGTTCCAAAGGCATGATATGGCATGATGGAATTCTGTTCTCCGGCGAACACAAAGAGTCCTCTAGTCACAGGCACATGTCGTAGTCGTAGTAGTCGAGTGGTAGTGGTATTGGCAGTGGCAGCGGCTATCGTTGTGGTAGCGGCAGTGGCAGTGGCGGCGTTAGTGATAATCGTGGTGGTGGTGCTGGTAGTTTTGGTGGTGGTGGTGGTGGTGGTAGCAGCAGCAGCANNCAGCAACAACAACAACAACAACCATAAAACAAAAAAAACAAACAAAACAAAAACAGCAGCAGCAGCAGCACCAGCAGCGGCAGCGGCAGCCGCAGCAGCAACAACAACAACAACAACAACAAAAACCAACAACCAATACCAACACCAACGCCAAGACCAACACCAACACCGCCAACAACAACAACCACAACCACAACAGCAACAATGACAAGGGTTTGGAGCCAACGACAACAACAACCTCAACTCACAACCACAACAAGGGCAACGACAACGACAACAACACCAACAACGCAACACCGTTCTGGTACCAGTACCAGTACAAGTAGTAGGAGTAGTAGTAGTAGTCGTCGTCGTTTTCGTCGTAGTAGCAGTAGTAGTAGCGGTAGTGGTAGTGGTAGTGGTAGTGGTAGTGGTAGTGGTAGTGGTAGTGGTAGTGGTAGTGGTAGTGGTAGTGGTAGCGGTAGCGGTAGCGGTAGCGGTAGCGGTGGTGATGCTAGTAGT